AATGGAAATAGAAAAATGAATGAAATTATTCAAAAAAATTTCTAGTTAGTTAGATGCAAACTGTTCATCAGCATCAATACCAGCTTTATGTGTTAATTGGTCAACTTTTTCCTCTAAGTTATACATTCAATGAAATCATAGGATGTTTCAGTTCAGCAACAGTAACATAAACAATATCATATTTATCAAATATGTGATATGTTTCATGTATATCATCTATTTCTTTATTATTATTTATTTTTAAAATTTTGTGCTACTTTGAGATACATATATCAAAATCAATTGCATGACTAATTTGTTGTTGAGTTTCTTGAAAATCAGTTTCTGATGGTGATAAAACACATAAACGAAGAATAATACTTAAAATTGATGAAAACTATTTTCATTGTTTTGACAAATTAAAATAAAGATTTTTATATCAAACTCTTATGCTGCAATCATATATACCTTATGATATTGATGCATTTTATCAAAACCACTGGATTTTGTTTGAGTTTTTTGTTTTAATAAAATCAAAATAAACAAGACATATTTCTAAATGTTGAATAAAGGAAAAACAAATAAATATGAGTTTTGTTTCTTTTCAAGGACAGGAAAAAGAAAAAAACAGAATTATTTTTCCGTCATTGATGTCGATAGACAATCCAAATATTGTAATTTCTATAATAATAGCATTTTCTTCTTTTATTTTTGTCTTTTGTTTGTATGACTCTACCAGATCTCGATTTGAACAAGTGATGTTTGTATATAAGATAATTGTTTTTCAAGGTCATCAAGTTTAATAATATTCTCATAAGTTAATTGAATTCTTTTTTCTGTATAATTTACAAAAGCTTTACATCTGATATATATATGCAACTATTTCAATCGATTCTTTTAGATAACCAAAAGAAATTATTTCCCGATCAAGTTTTCTATTCAATTCAATAAGTGTATATTTATCATTAACAATAAGTGATTCAACAGCAGATACTAGACCAAAATAAATGCGGAAACTTCGGATTTAAATCCGAGAGTTATGTGTACTTCAAAAAGTGAATTAGACAGATGAGTCATCCTAGAATGTGTGGATATCAAAATTATACTGGGAAACCTTTCCTATAAACGGTTTATTTCTGTTGGCTATTGGTCCATCAGTAGGGCTTGGAGGCGAATAGAGCTCAAATTTAAACTCTTCGCCTTGATTAACCCTAAGAAAGTCGTTTTTTCCTATAACTTGATTTTTATTGGTCACTGCTCAACCAATAGTATTTCGAGGCAAGTGGAGTACGGATTCGAGTTCTCCGCCCCAGAAAACCTCAAAGTATCAACTCTATGATCGGAAGATAGAGCTCGAATTGTGAGTCAATTGGATGGTGGACAAAACCGGAACCTATTTCCGTTTAATTATCTTTGTAATAGGTGAGTTAGCCTTCTCGTTCCTTTATGTTTTATATACCATTTTGCAACTCGTGAAATTCTCTATCGAATGGTATATAATAGTTGGGGTTTTATTTGACTATGATAGGAAAAGTCTTTTACGAAAGCTGGGATGGGTCGATTTTCGCATAGGAAGCCATAGGGAAAAATGAGTATTTTTGCAATAACTCAGCAATGGCTCGGCCGATCATGCTCGTCTCCGAACTCGACCAAGACATTGTTAAGACTGAATTGTGTAGAAAATTTCATCGCGATTGGACTCCCATTTCAAAAGTTATCGTGTTAATGGCCGGACGGACGGATATACTGACCGATTCTAGAGTGTACTGACTTTTTGAGTACACAAAAAGAATCATGAGCATTACAGTTATTATCCGAAACACTGAAAATCTACGAAAGACTCATAGACCCCTAAGACAAAGTGGTCTTGGAAAAATTTTTTTCTGATCAAGAAAAAATAAAACTACATATACAGAAAGGTGTAGAATTTCAAGCTCTATCTTTTTTATCATATTGAAAATGAAAACTGAGAGGTGGCAGATTTCCGATGAAATTCCGCGGTGTCCTTTCTCAGGTCAATGATTATAGACTCTAGAAAATTTGGGTTTCATCGAAAACTATCGATATAATGCGAGGAGATCTGTCGTATCCAGCACAAAATCATTGGAACTTGATGTAGCATGAACTACTCATCCGCCCATATCCTCATCAGTGTCCGTTGAGAATCGGAAGTATCGGTGCGATTAAGCAAAAGTATGGATGAACAGAAAGCCAAGTCTTACCTATCCATCTTCATAAATGGTTCAAGTCTTCTAATACTTTTCATTAATGGTTCTTGTAACTTTTTAATGTATAAAGCTTCCTATCAATCATTGCAGGAACAACAGTAAGCACAACAGTAACAGCAACAGTAAGAACACAAACAACGACAATTCCGACCACAACTATAGCAACAACAACAACAGCAGCAGGAATCAGTGAGTAGATCAGAATGAAATTGTCTTTCACCAGGAATTATTCAGATTCAGGTCGTTCTCTTTACATCTTGTGACAACTGAGAGTTCGCATGACAAACAATTGACTTTTCTCTGACAAATGTATTAGAAAAAACTATTGAAATAGATTTAAGAATTTATTTCCTTTGGTCCTCATCAAAAGGACCGTTTGTACTCACAAAAATTGTTTAGAATAAAATGCACCCAATAAACATTTTTAGAACGATAAGGACAAAAAAGAAGTGCTTGAGGTATTTTAATATCGAGACAGTCAATGAAAGTCAACTTTTGACGGTATCAGCAAGGTCGAAGAAAATCTCTGCATCTAATTATGGCCCTTTTATTCTAATGGTTAACGAAATCGAGGAAAATAATTTGTAAGTGTATGTTTTAAAAAGCTTTTATAGACACAGGTGCCTGTTTCATGGGTAGCTTCTAATCAGTTATGTTTTTTTTTATCTCTCTCTGTCCTATCTAAAAGCTACTCAAAATGGACCTTACATTCATACTCATTATCAAAACTGAGATTAAATAGTAACTATTTGTTCAACATTATCATCCTGTTGCAGAAATTGCACCTTAGTTATGTGTTGTTCTTTCTCCTCGATGAACTCTACACCAAAAGTTCTTATCATCAAACTATTTACAATAAAAATTCCGTAAAAAAACGCTTGGAACATGGATGTAGCCGAAGGTTTTGTATTGCTTTTAGAAATAAGAGATGCTAACATTTCTGAAGACAGCATAATAATTTGACAGATTATAGGTCCTAAAGCTCTCAGGTAGTATCCGAACCGCAAATACTGCATTTAGTGATTTGGTGCAAGATTTCATTAAGGAAAAATTATTTCCGTTCGATTTTATATCATCAAATGAAAGAGGAATTCGTGATTGAAATATCTGTTTCCATCAGAGTTTACTGCGAGAGTTAAAAGAACTAGCAGATAGTGTCCCATTTATCCAACTCTCAAGTTCGAAGTAGTCGGCGAATGAAATGCATCCACTGTGTCACCTGGACGCACAATAGGTATAAAATCATTGAAAAGATTTACTGCAGCAGATAATGTTAGCAGAGAGAGAAGTTTTAGAAAAGCGAAATGACGAATGAAAGTTTTCTGTGATAAGTCTTTCATTTGACTCATTGAACGTATATAGAGAATTCTGAAGGAACTTCTAGCAAACGTATTCCAAAAAGAAGGAACATACAAGAGGACTTTGTCCATTGTTCAATTACTTTTCATTGGAGATTATTCCTCTTTAATTTGTGGTGATAAAGTGAGAAGTCTGCTTTGATCCGATATTCAGAACTTTGACTACCAAGTTATGAGTGTGGTACCCGATTTATGACATATGAACATAGCATTGCTGAACACCTGAATCATCCAGTTTTCAGTCGTTTAACCCAAAACAAAAGCATGCTTGTTGAAAAATTTAATTTTTTTTTTCAGACATACTCATTTTCAGTTCCTAATTAAAAGGATGACGCTTCTATGGCAAACTTATCTCTCAAAACTTATAGACTTGTCCTACCTCAAACTTTAGAGTGTTTAAAATACTTGTAAAGTCTATCTATGTACTAAACTGTAACTCAAAACTCAATAATTCAAATTCTCAGTGATTCTATACTCAAAAATGAAAAATTGAGCAAACACCCATAAATTCATAAGCAAATGTCGCCCAAGTAGACAAGAATTTGGAAAAACGCGTTTACACCCTACAATCGGGAACCGCGATTGTGATCCACTCACGCTCCAAAAAATAACGCCGTTTTTCGCGTTTTTTGCGTTTTCTTTGTGCATGGTTTTCACTTTTTGACCGTGAAAACAGCGAAAACCCCAGTTTTTGAGCGATAAAACGTGCTTTTATTTCTGGAGTTTTCTGGAACCTAAAAACCAAGCGTTTTATCGCTAAAAAACGGGGGTTTTCGCCGTTTTCACGGTCAAAAAGTGAAAATTATGCACAAAGAAAACACAAAAAACGCGAAAAACGGCGTTATTTTTGGAGCGTGAGTGGATCACAATCGCGGTTTCTGATTGTAGGGTGTAAACGCGTTTTTCCAAATTCTTGTCTGCTTGGGCGGAAGCCAAATTAAGACAAACCTATTTATTACTCATCATTTTAATCGAATGACAGTAGCCTACAGAGAAGAGCTATGGGCCAGTTGGAAATATTTCCTGATCTACAACTTTAACCTGCTTGTGAGTTCTACAGAAAGAGAACCGAGCCAGTATCTCGTATGATAAGTCAAGCATGTAGCGTAGCATTAAAATTTGTGCCAATTATTTTTTAGCGGCACCTTGCCTACAGTGGAACCAAAATCCGATTGTCATTGTGGGAAATGGAACGGCGGGCAATAGTACTAATTTGCTGAATGGTCCATGGGATTTGTCAATTGACACCAATTCCAACTTATATATTAGTGATGGCTATAATAATCGTATTATAAAACGTGCGAGTGGCAGTTTAGTTGGAGTACCTCTGACGAGTGGAACTGGTCGTGATTTTAGTCAAGTTTGGAATCCATCGGCATCAGTCATTGACACATATGGCAATCTCTATGTTTCCGATATGTTTAATTACAGAATAATGAAATATTCCAACATTTCGTCAACATCTGGATCACCACCAATCACTGGTCAAGTAGTTGCAGGTGGTACTTTCGGAAATGGTTATAATCAGCAATTGATCTCGTGGGGAGTAGCAGTTGACCCTAGCGGTTATGTATTTGTATCAGATTATGCTAATAATCGGGTCATGAAATGGGCTCCAGGGGCAGTCACTGGTAGCTTAGTAGCTGGAATAGGAAATGGTACTGCCGGAAATGGTTCAAGAGAACTTCATTGGCCGTTGGGTATTTATCTTGATCAAAGTTTAGCGCTATATATTGCAGACGCTGGCAATGGTCGAATTCAAAAATGGTTATCCGGATCATCAACAGGCATAACAGTCGCTGGCACCAATGGTCAGATAGGCTATCCAACTGATGTTTCTGTTGACAACTATGGCGCAATATATGCATGGAGCGGGGGTGGTTTATATCGATTTACTCCAGGATCTACTTGGGGCACTATTGTTATTTCATATTATAGCGCCGTTTTTGGCTTTAAATTTGATTCGATCGGTAATGTGTACGTTGCTGATTATGGGTTGAACTCGATCTTAAAATATACTCTTAATAGTACCCAATGTAGTAAGTATTTCTCTTTCTTAATGTTACTAAATTCCAAAGTTAATGCATTTATTTTTATCTCATCATAGATAGTAGAATGGCTACAATCATCACGCCATCATCAAAAGAGGTGTCAACAATACATTCAAGTAAGACATCTATTTCTTCTCTTCAAGTCTTGTCTTAAATATTTCTATTCCTAAACTTCGATAAAAAGCAATAAAATTTTAGTCTAGTTTTTGTCAGAAAACTATTGTGATCAATAAATATTGTATTTCTATTTCCGGTGTTTAAATGAGAATGTTTTTATGCTAGCAAAAAAGAGTTCAAAATATCGATGAATGCGAAAAAGCGTTCAACACATTTTATTAGAAATTTGAAATGCCTCGATTATAAGTATTGCCAAAGCAGTAGTTATAAGAGATCCTAAAAAGATGTATGAAAACTTCTATATAGTAGTTGGTGTGGGACATTATGGAGGTAGTGGTAATCACTTACTAACAGAGTGTTCTGCTATAACAGGTGAGAATTACTTAAACATATATTATAGATTCTGTTTTAGCATCTCTAAAACATAATTTACTAGATATAAAATTTTATTTAGAATCCTTGGACAACATAAAGCAGCGGGTTATATCTAAATATTGATAATTATGATAGAACAAGTGATGCCAGAGCGTGATGACACAAGAGTGCGAAGCTACATACACAGTTTTGAGTAACAATTAACCTTCAGAGACATTAAGAGTTAGCCGTCATGACATTGCCACATTTCTAATGCGACTACGGTCATATTTTCAGATTTTTGCTATTATGTTTTCATTGAATGCAAAATCAGCGTGATATTGAAAGATAAGATGGCTAATTCAGTTATTATTTATTAAATGGATGCTACTACAGATATTAAACGATTTTCAAAATATAGGAAGTGTTAGATATTTAGCTACTTACTCGAATAATCCACCTGACCTTGATCATTTTCAAAGTTTTTATTCAGCATTTCAACTATCTCATAGATATATGTTAGTCAGACACTTTTGTGATTGTCTTAGATTGTTGCATGACAACAAAGGAACAATTTTGTCTCTAATCCTATTTTATTGCAAAGTCAACTGTTTGTTGAGTTGAAAGACATCTTCTTTTTTATTATTACAGAGACCAAGAATATTTTGGAAGCGATAGCAACGACTCAATCATTACGATACACATCTGCATCTTCACATTGATTGCTCTATTGCCGTACATTTACGTTATTCCACACTTGAAACTGAGAAGTTGTTTTTTGTGAAACATTTAACCTTTTTTGAATATTCTTTTTCTTATTCGATTAAAATGCTCTTTTATGACTACTAACCATGACACATTTACCATTGGCATTCTTGCTTATTAATTTATGTTCTTTCTTTAGAACACCAAGGGGTGTGGGTGTGGGTGTGGGTGTATTGTCTTCACACGCACTTACACCCACACACCCACACCCCACACCCACACCCACACCCCACACCCACACCCACACCCACACCCACACCCCACACCCACACCCACACCCATACCCACCTACACCCACACCCCAAGAATTCTAAGAATTGGAATGATTTCAATCATTTTAGTTCAAAAGAGTAAAAGAAAAGAAAAAGAAAAATATTTAATACTAATATATCAAGAAAACATTTAATGATATTAATGGGTAAATATCTGCTCGAAAAAAAATTAAACATATTCCGAAAATTTTGAAAACTAGTATGAAAATAAATAACAAAAGAATTTCTAATAGATCATCGTCGTAAAGAAGAGATCTGTCCATAGAAAATATCAAAAATATAGTCAATAATACTTGCTGAATGAAATCTGGTCGACATCAACGTATACACTGTAAAAAATAGGCGTAGAATAATAAACCCTTCAAAAGGGTTTATTAGCCTTATAAACGCTTTCATATACCCTTTTAGTGTCATAAACCCTTTCATATACCCTTTT